GTGTGTGTGTGTGTGTGTGTGTGTGTGTGTGTGTTCGTCCTGACTCCAGCGACCGCTCAGGCTTTAGTATTGAGGTTTTTTCTTTTTTTTGAATCACAGCAGTGATATTGAAGCTCGGATCCTTTCCTCTGCTCCGCTGCCTCTGGTCTGAGCTCAACATCAATACAGCTGATGTCACCACGAGAACAGAGAAGAAGCCTTTATGTAAAGCAGCTCATTGAACTGCAGCATTTTTCCACGATTACAACTTGAGCAGCGTCCTTGCCACAAAGTCACGGCGATGGTATGATTACACATTTTACGTCATGTGATGATTACAAATTTTGTGCATTGATTAAAATGTGATTAAAGTAAAACATTACAGGTCTCGACAGTCGACACCCAAAACAAACCCAACGGGACCCATCAGGATGGTGAATGAAGATGGACGACGTGTCTAACCACAGCTCGGCTTGGTGATTTTCACAAAGCCTTCCACTGCTCTGCTGGTGCTGTGTCAAATTTTTGTTTCCCCAACAATTTGTGACCTGATGGTGAACCACAGCTAAGCCTCACTTATGCAGACTCTGCAGCCTCGGCTTCTCCAGTTAGTGTTAACAGCAGTTTGACAGCATCAGACCTGGTTCCAGCTCGACAGGGACAATGAAAACAAATGAAATCAGCGAAGTCGCCCTCCGGAAGATGAACAGAGGGAGACATTCAAAGAAACCGTGATCTTTAACGTGAGTCAGTGTTCACGCAACCCTGCGTTAGCTTTCCTCTGCACACAAATCAAAATCAGGAATCGTAGACTTAATGTATTCTCACATTTCCCTCGTACGCTGACGACATTGATCAGTTCTTGTACAAACAGTCTATTTAAACTCTGCAGCTCTTCCACCTCTTCATGTCACTGTGTGTGTGTGTGTGTGTGTGTATGTGTAGGAACTACTTAGTATTAATGGACACAACCTCGCCACCGGGCAGCCACAAGAAGAAAAGCTCCTCCCTGTGGTATTGTTTGTCTGTTGTCCAGCCTCCAGCCTGCCCTGTCCGCTGCTCTCTCAACAATCACATTGACCGAGGGATCGATAGAATCCTCCAGAGAGAAAAGACCAGACTGAAGCGCTGCCGTCGCTCCGTCCAGACGTGTGCACAAGGTGATTGTGACAAGGTAAAGTTGTTCTCTCCGGAGGGGTCGAGGGACGAGGGGTGAGTAATGCCACAGAGGAAGAAGAAGAAGAAGAAGACAGGAGTGGGACCAAAAGAAAACTAGAGCTGCTCTCTGGAGACGAGGAGAGGAAATATCAAATGTGCAGCGAACAAATGCAGAATCTATTTTCATTGGCAAAGACCAATGGACGCATGACATCACTGACTTTGTTAATTGTTGGTCAATTTCTGCAGGAAAGACGTCAGAGGACGCTCTGGACATGTTTTCACTCATCATGACTTCTTTTCCAAACCAACCAGCTTCAGTGTTTTAACAAACAACACGTCAGTCACGTCATCAACCTTTGACATAAAGGCTTTGTGATTGTTCGTACGTTTTGTTGTTAACTGTGGAGTTATGTCTTTATATATTCTCTTTCTCAGGGACCAAATGCAGAGTTAGCGATCTGTAGGCTACACACTTAAAGGTCTCATCGTAGAGTGTGAGTAAAGGTGGACGACACGTCTTTACTTCCTCCCAATGTCCAGAAATGAAGCCAAATCATCCCGCACACAAACGCACCTGCGAAGTAGTGACCAGGGACGGAGGGGCTGCTCAATCATGAGTCGGTCTCAGCTGTCAATCATTAAATCCACTGATTAAAACTGATCAGAAACACTTGAACATGCATCAGCGGGATGAGAACCTCTCGCTGGCTGTGGAGAAGGACAGAGGACGAAAAGCTGGAGGCCGAGAGGTGATGGGCAGCTCCACCAACCCGGAGAGTGATGTGTTTGTACCACCTGATGACATCAGCTAATGACCACAGATTAAACCCCAGCAGGTGAATGACGCAAGCAAGGTGCCATCTTCGTCTTCTTTTATATTTTAGTTTGGTCCATGTCCCGTTTGCTAACATGGAGGATACAGGTTTAGGACCCATCCTGCAGCCAGGCACCAGGGGGCAGATGAGACGCTTTTAGAAGCTTGTGCGTTTTTATTTAAAGTCAATGAATCTGATCTGCTAATAAAAGCACATGAAGAAACTCGCTAGCCTAGCAACATGAAAGCTACAAACAGCCCACAATGCAACACTTTGCAAAAGCTGTTGTTACAAGAGTGCTTCGTCAAACATAATCATTTTGTACATAAAGCATCGTCTCGTATTCAGGCCGATAAGTGGAGCCTCATTTACAAACACATCTGTGCTGTGGTGCGTTTCGTCTCATGAACGTCACGGAGTCGACTGTAAACCTCGTCTCTGAGAACAAGAGCCTCCATTCAGGGATTCTAAAAACTACGCTCGCTCTCAGCATCAAAATTAGAGAGGAGACATTGTCCGTGGTCGTGGAAAGTATAATCACGGATCACTGAAATGTGAGGAGCTGCGGCTCAGCTAACAAAGCTAATCATAGACTGAAGCAGCGGCGCGAGGAGCAACTTACCTCAAACATAAAGTCACGTCGCCTCGGAAATTCAAACCTAAATCAGCGGTGGATGGTTTTATACGTTTCTTTGCCAAGAGGTTGAAGCAGAATGAAGCCGGGGATGAGTGCACATGTGCAAATGTCACAGTTCTTCTCACCGAATGTTTCCAGATTCTGTGCCTGGTTTTCAAACCCGGCAAATCACGGCAGCTCCGGCAAAACCTCTCTCACACGTGAGCCACAGAGAAGAGGCAGCGTGTCGGCCGTGCAATTTCTGAATCCTAATTTATTTTTAAAGAACGTCTCCAGGCAGCCAACCTTTATAAACCAGTGTGCGTGTGTGTGTGTGTGTGTGTGTGTGTGTGTGTGTGTGTAGCTCTGCTGCACTCTGAGCTGCAGACAGCCACAGACCAATCTGCTGCCTGGGCATTAAAATTACATGTTGTCATATTTAGAAAAGTGTTTCACATGCATATTTGAACTGAAACAGTTGAACTTGGGCACTTAACTGCTGCAGTGTGAGTGTGTGTGTGTGTATGTGCGTGTGTGCATGTGTGCGTGCCCTCATTGATCTGGTGACACAGTTGAACATATATCTTCTTCTCCCCTGAACACAGTGTAACAGGTTATTTAGGAAAGTGGTCACATCTGTTTCCAACTTACTTGAATCTTCCTTGACAGTGTTGGCACTGATCCCCGACCCATCCGTGGTCACAGGAGCAGCTCCCGTTGACGCACCTCCCTGAGAAGCAGCTCTTATCGCAGGACTTGGACACAGACGAGGCTTCCGCGTGGAGCAGGAGCTGGAGCATCACAAATAACCCCAGGTACGTTCTCCACGCGCCCTTCGTGGACGAACCGGTCCAGGTGCAGAGGTGCATCCCCCCGGTGTCTTCCATGGTGGCAGCTGAGTGTCTGTTCTGTGAGAGGCTGCAGCCCCGGAGGAGGGAACCAAACTGTGACTTTACGCAGCCGGATGATCCGCTGTCATCACACCGGTGTCCCCATGACGCCTGCGTGAAAGGCGCAGGTGAGCGGTTTTTACGCACGGCCGTGGGATGCGTGGAAGAAGCTGCGGGACGAGACAAAGAGATTCAACTTTGATGGAAACACTTGAGACTTTAAAATCAGTGGAAACGCGTCTCCAGCCGGATCGTCCGTTCCGAGCCAGCGGGACATGAACGCCGCTGTTCCGCGCTCTGCGGCGCGTCCCCACGAGTCTTCCAGATAACTTAGTGGTCACGGTTCCGATGTAAACACGCCGCCGTGACCGGATGGTGCTCCCGCAACGTCAACCACCATAATCCCGCAGAGAAAGTGAAACGCACGGAGCTCCAGTGACTGTGTGCGCGCGCTCATCTCCCGCCGGACGCGCGTCTCTTTAGACCAGACAACGACGTCCTGTGTCCGGGTTCGGTATCTGCGGAGGAGGCTGCGGCAGCTGCTGCTCTCCCGGTCTGCTCCGGTCCTCCGCTGGTTCCTGTCTGGGGGAAAACTCCGGCACGAAGCCCGGAGCATGAGCAGTGTGTCCGCACGGTTAAAGGGACAGTTCCCCTAAAACATGCACACAATTAATACATGAGGCAGAAGACAGTGAACAAAGACAGAGGGAGAGAGAGAGAGATGGATAAATAGAGAGAGAGAGAGAGAGAGATGGATAAATAGAGAGATAGAGATGGATAGATAAATAGAGAGATGGATAGAGAGAGAGATAGAGATGGATAGATAAATAGAGAGATGGATAGAGAGAGAGAGAGATGGAGAGATAGATAGATAGAGAGAGAGAGAGATGGATAGAGAGAGAGAGATAGAGATGGATAGATAAATAGATCTGTTTTATCTGTTTGTCAATATGAAATCTTTTATTTCACAGAGTAAACAATGTGTATTAATTGTCATTTATAATAAAGTTTATGGTTAAAATATATTTTTCATCTCCGTCACATGGGTTTCATGTCTCGGGAGTCAGTGGATGGATGGAGAGATAGATAGAAATCATAAAAACACTATGTTAATAATGGTTCCTTGTTTTTCTTTCAGATTCCAACACTGGATGAGGACAACGGTAATGTCAAAAACACACACACACACACACACACACACGAGCACTCACAGAAAGTTATGAGAACAGGATAACCACAGGGACTGATGGGTAATAAAACTGCAGAATGATAATTTCTGCTCTGAGACAATTTGGAGACATAGTCTTAAATCCATTACTTCAAGGACTGGGTCAGTTTATTGCTCCATTATTATTATTTATCTGTTTGTTCATGAGGAGCCGGGACCAGAATCAGAGACGTGTTTCCCTGCAGTGACTCAGGATCAGGGAGGCATCACCTGAACGTGCACAGTGATTAGCTGACATGAGGGGAGGATGTTTCTAAATCAGAAACCTGGAAGAGTTTGAGTTGATTTAGAGCCCGAATGAGACAGAAACATTAAAACCAGACACGGCGGAGGCTCAATTCCCCAAACTGTCTCCCTGCTTTATAACTTCATCTCACTCTGACGGCTTTAAAGACACTGAGTTGTTCTTCGGATCCGAGCGACGCTTTTGGAAAACAAAGCCAGGATTTGCATCTGCTCTCCCCCGAGGGCTCGCGAAAACATCCTGATGTTTCCGAGGCCTCGTTTTCACCGAGCTGGAGCAGGAAGGCTGTGGATGATCATTGGCTTTCAGGAGCGATAACAAAATCAAGGGAGCCTTTATCGATTGTTTTGATGAAATACACACCAGGGGTTTTGTATAAAGTTTCATTCACTTACAGCGAATCAATATTGTAGAAATGAAAGTGGCAATCAGGAAGAATTTCATTAAAACGAAGTCACAGAACGAGGAAACACAATGATGGTTGAGCCTATGATGAAAGTATTGCAATATTTGTACATTAGTAGAATCATGGATTGTAAATAAAGATGGACGGTCTCGGGTCATGTGACAGTTAAAAAAATAAAAATAAAATAAATAAGTAAGCAAAGAGACTGTCATTGCAATTCAAGAAACATAAAGGATATGAACAAAACACACACAAATGAAAAACATTAATGAAACCCCCCCCCCCCACTATCCAGGAAGTCAAATATCACAGATATGGGCGCGGCCATCTTGTGCCATTGACGTCACTTGGAGCCAGAATCTGCGCAGTAACGAGGGGGTGGAGCCGCAGCAGCAGCGAAGTCCAATCACGAGTCGTTTTTTAAATCTAATAACTAATAAAAAGAAAAGTGATCAGACACTTGACTGGTGACGGAAAACATCTCTGACAAACTGAAGATAAAACAACTTCAGCTCAAGGTTGAATTCAACAGTTGCTCTGGAGCTTTCCATCAAGAATGAACTCAGAAACCAACGAGAAGTAAGATTTTCCAACACTATTGTTGACGTTTGTTAGAACTTGATTCAAGTTTTTAATTAAAGATTTAAAAAAAAAAAACAAAGCTGACTGAGGCGAACGTTACCCAAAATGCAATGCTCTCTCTTTAAACTCCCTGATTTAATGATTTAGGGAAAAAGATAAATGAAGAAATGACGCGTGTTTACGGTGATTTACAACAACTACACATCGTCTTTAAGTAAATACGAATAAATCCGACTCTCACAGGTTTGTATCTTCATCAACTTTTTAATATTTCATATCCACTCTTTCTTTCCTCATCGTGTTCCTCTCACACTCTGGATGGTTGAGTTCCTCTCTTCTCTGACTTCAGCAGGTATTCTGGCCGACGGCCACTTCTGGAGGAAACAGCTGGTTTTACTGCAGGCTGGCGTTTCCTCTCCTCGCCCTCCTGGGACACGCAGCACCACCTCCTCCACGCTGCACCTCCACGCTGCACCTCCATGCTGCTCGTGCTGACGTGCACTTTTTTTCCATTGCCCTAATTTTGCAGGTTTTTTTTTTTAAAACCAGCAACAGGACCATCTGCCTGGCCTCTAAATTAGGACGAGTATTTATCAAATGTCTTGTGATGGGAATACTGATCCAGGCTCTGTGTTGCCCTGCAGGTGGAGATAACTGACAAGGTCAAGGTTATGCAGATACGCCGCCTCTTCACATCAATATTCATTAACTTTCTGCTCAGATATGAAATCGAAAATTAATTGTTTGCAGGAGTTTGGAGTCACGGGTGACAGCTTAATGAGACTTTGTCTTTTCTGACACATTCAACTAAACATATTCCTCTGTGGCGGCGTCCTGAATTAAATCCAAGCAGATAAAAGACATCAAACTCCTGTTGAGGAACACAAGGCACACAAATCTACTGGTTTAAATCTCCATGTGACAGTAAAGACAGGAATTAAACCTCACTGTTGGCCTGTGGGAAATGGGTTCGGCTTATTGTTATTCCTGCTGCTGGAGTAGAATCCTATTATAGATCATTTTTAACCTCCGCCCCAGGGGCCAAAGTGGGAATATTGATTGTCTTACACAAAGTACCCTCACGGGAGGAAAATGAAAAAGACAAAAAAAAGAAACTCATATTGATTTTTGACAGTTTGTTTATTATTAAACTGGAATAAGTCACCGCTGCAGAGGAGGATGAGGAGGATGAAGGTGGATGAGGAGGAGACGGTGCAGGTGCACGCAGCATCACTGGTTTCTCTTCTGCTCATGTTAATGTTGTTCTCTGGCAGCTGTGGTGTTTAATTGAACAGATGTTGCATAAAACATGCACACACACACACACACACACACACGTGCACGGTGTGTGATAGCATGTCAGTTATTTCTGGACAGAAACACACACCAGTGTAGACGGAGAGCGAGATCAGAGTCATTGAGACAGAAAGAGCAGAATTAAAAGATTATAAAAAGATTATCATTTTATGACTGATGTTTAGTGCCCCCTGCTGTTTGATAGCTGCTAGTGCAATACATCTGTTTTATTCTTTTTTCTCATGTAAAACCTCTTTATTTATTTATTCATTCATTTATCTGGTGAATTATTTTTCTGAGCTTTCAGCCACATCGCCTGACCAGTTTTACTTGGAGGATGACGAGGGTGTGATGCTGAGTGAACTCCATCTGCTGACGAAGGCCGCAAAACGTGAGTTATACTTTTAGACCAAAGTCAAAGTTTACATGTCCTGAATTATATTTTATTAAGATATTGTGGGTTTTTATTCAGTGCAGAACTTCAGTGAGGCCTGAATGAAAACCTGATTGTTCAATAAGACTAAAAATAGAAAAACAAATTCCTTTATCTATTTAAGAACAATGCAGCGTCTCCTGTTTCCTCTTTATTCCACAAAAAGAATTTTCCTTTCATTCCTGCAGAGGAAAAGAAAAAGTTCCTCTCAGGCTTCAGTTATTTTCCTGCAGCTACAGGGACGTCACTGTCATCCTGCTGTGACCACAGTTATAGTTGTGATGACAACCACAGATGGATCCCATCCACCGCTGCTGCCGGCCGGCCGTGTTGGTTTGATTTAAGAGAAGCTGAGTGAGCAGGGGGGAGGGAGGTCAGGACGTGGCCGGAGTCCAGGGGATTTCCTCGGCCTGAGTTTGATTTGTATCTGCAGAGCGGCACAGACACATCAGCTGACGGGCTGCATGAGGAAAAGAGTCAGGGAAAGGAGGGAAAGGAGGATGTTGCTCACAAATGATGGAAAAATGTCAGTTTCCACAGCCTGAGCGCACAAAGATCTTCACTTTGTCTGTAAACAGATAAAATATAATGAAGATAATGTGTTTATACTATTACAGGAGCCTGCAGCAGCAACAGGAAAAGTATCATCCATCAGTGTGTGGAGGAAAAATAACTGAATGTCATAATTTATCCACATTTTAAATAAAAATGTCATTAGTCTGTTCCCACATTCTTCTTCTTCTTCTTATCAGAGATGAACTGATTTGTCAGAGGTCAGAGGTCACCTCAGGCTGGTGAAGACAAACAAACACATCATGGTGGTAACTGTAGTTTGCATCTGATTCTTTCTCGCTCTAATCTTCTGTATTGAGTTAGTTTGACTTGTAGTTTTGAAGATTCACCAGGAGGGTTCACTAGTGTACAACTTTGGAGTGGTAGCTGCTGCAGAGTCTCATGCTCTGTTCTCCAGCATGTCTTTTAAACATGTCCCACTCATTTCCACATCTGAATGTTCAGACTTCATCCACCGTGTGTCTTTGTTTTCAGACGTGAGAGTTTATATCTCACGCAGACTTGTTGATGACAGATTCAAATCATTTGTTTTCAAAGTAAAAACTTGACATTCAGGAGACTTAAAGATTTTTAGGATTTCAAAGCAAAATCAGGACACAGAGACATAGATGGTGATTTATACTAACTGAAAATAACAATAATAAAACTTTAAAGTGATGACCTGACGAATGGATCCCTGCGCTGTGATGTGTTGTTGAGCTGCCTGATTTATTATATTGTTTGAATAGTGACTGAATATTATCTGTGCAGATGAATGTGCCGCTCTCGGCCTTGTGCTGCGTCCACCAGCTACAGCATGTTCCCACTCTGATGCTCTGATGTCACTAATTGACACCAGATTCTTTGACCCTTCGTCTGAGTCTCGACCTTTTAAATAAATCACATTATCTCGTCTGTGAAACACACGGAGTCTCCGGTCTGTGGAGAGAAAATGCAGATGTGTCCGTCGCCTCACGTGCTTCGTCTGATTTTACAAAGATGTTATAGTGATGATGGCGTACGTGTACGATTCTAAATACCGGCTGCTCATACTTCTGTGATGTAGATTCCTTTTAATTTATGAAATTCCCGTGTTGCAACACAATCCTTCAAAAAGTCAAAACAGCTGTATCTGATCCTTGGTCCCAGCTCGAGCTCTGGTGCTTCTCAGTTATTGTAAATATGATAAATGAAAAACTCAAGACAGAAAATGAGGCGATGTGACGGAGGCATCGCTGAAATGTTGAGTTATTTGTGCAGCGTTTAAAAGTCCATGGCAGCTTGTTTGTTTTCAGAGCTGCACACAGTCTGACCATGTGGCCAATAAAGAAATATGGCACATGATGATCTCTTTGAAATTCCACACATGCCTCACATATCCCCACATTCATCCCCTCAGGCCTCGTCTTTTATGGAGCTGGCGATCGGTCGTTATCGAGCGGCTGACTTTTCGTATTTCTGCACCTGGACTTCCAGCAGAGGGAGGAGACACGAGAAGCTGGAACAGCCTCAGTGCTTTTACCCAAACTTGATTCATTCTGCAGAAACAGGACGGACACAGGGCGACGTCGGATCAGCTGCTGGAGTCACAAACAAACAAACAAACAAACAAACAAACAAACAAACAAGCTGCTGGTTCCCCATGGTTCAATACATCATCTGAGGCATGAAGACAAACTTCACATCACCTGCTGCTGCACCGTCCTCCTCCACAGGAGCCTTGCTCAAGGGCACAGCTTTCATTTGAAATCAATTGATTCTCCTCTCGACTCCTGTTCTTCCTCCCCTCCACCTCATCTTCCTCCTCCTCTTCTTCTTCTACTCTTCCTCCTCCTC